CATTGCACAGGCTCTATGAGTGAAGAAATTTCTACTCTATAGGACTGACCAATCACATGGGCATTTTTTTGTCCTGTTTGCAAACTGTTTACTGATGTTCCCTACATTGAAGGGAAGATATGAAATCTTTCACACTGAGCTTCATGTACACCGACTGGCAACAAAGTTCTGGTCACGCAAAGACCAGCCATTTTGGATCCAATTGGCCACATAGACTTGGATCCCATGGCTGTTAAATTTCTGACTGGTCGACTATTAGAGACTTGGTTAAGCTCTTGCTAAGATTCATGCCTGACATTTTAGCCATCCTCTTTTCTGAAGCTTGTGCCATGCTGATGGGCTAAGTGCTGCAGTGGGTTTCCCATTGTCTTCTGTAGGAAGGCTGACCAGGAGACTGCCTCCATCATACTTCCTGCCAACATAATGGAAGGATTTACAGGCTAACATGTGACTTGTTTGCCCATGATATGAACACACCTTCCATTGGCAGTGGTATTTGAACCCAGAGCTACCGACCCAGTGGAAGGATGGCACCTTCTATGGACTCCTGCCATCCACAGAAACCTTACAGGGTGTCCAAAAATAACTTCTATAACAGCCGAGAGAGAGAGAGAGAGAAACATGAGAGGGAACAACAAAAAAGCAAGCTACTTTGTATAAAGTAGTGATTGTTTGTGTTGGTCCTACACTCACATAGCATCCAAATTATTAGCCTTCCTTACAATAATGGCATAATTTTCAGTAGTGAATGGCACAGGAGGGGTTATGGGAGGTCAGTTATTGTTGAGATACATATGTGTGCATTCAATTTGGATTCATGCATTAAGCAAGTGCATCTAATGCAGCAGAGCCTGCTGATCATTCCCTGTCTTTCCTGTGTACATTCATCTCTTGTTGAGTTGGTCCTGGAATCATAGAAAAGCTTCCACAAATCTTTCACTCTGTTACAAAAGTATTCAAAATCCTTTGAAAGATTCCAGACACTGAGTTGGCTTTTCACAAGCTTGTAAACTATTTCCAGGAATGTCACATTCAAGTGAGTGAGTACTTTGTGGTGGAATAATCACCTGCTTTGAGCTTGTCAAATATCTGTGACAGCAAGACTCCTGCTGTTTGTACTTTAGCAAGAGCTCTGCTTTGAATGTGATGTGTGTGCTGATGGTATTAACAGGCAAATTTTAACCCTATTAAAAGCAGCAGAATTAGCATTGACTTGAAGGTTAATAGAACCTTCATCTATGTTTTGTCTGGTCTATCTTCTCATCTTCTGCATCAATGAAAGTGCCCTCAAGCTGATACTCTAATAATTATCTTTATTTGAAGGCATTAGTAAAACACTCTTTACATGTAACATGTTTATATTAGGAGGCAATATATCATTACAATTTAGATGAAATGTGTTTATAATTACTCATTTGAAAAGGGCTCCTTCAACCAGGCATATTTGAGATATAGATTATATTGAATATTTAGGAGATCTTGTAATGCAGTGGATTATGTCCCTGCCATTGAGCCTGAATCTCTGGGTTCAAGTCTTACTTCAGGACCTGACAGTCAAGGAAGATGCATTCATAACGTGACCAAGTAGGTCAGTTATCAACGTGTAAATCCTTGCAATGCACACTGCAGGCAGACAGTAGGAAGGGGAGAGATTCCTGCTCAGTCAATAATGGAAAGAAATTTGAAGCCTCTGCCATGATGATGCATAGCTCCAGACTACAACATGTGTGTGAAAGTGCACATTGGACTCATCGAGTGATCTGTAACACACTACACTTTGAATTACCTCCTCAAATAATTCCATCAGTTTAGTTAGACATAATCTTTACTTAATGAATCCAGGCCTTTCCTGATGACTTATACTGTCCATTTGAATTTTTCCAATACTTTATTGAATAACGACTGGTCTGGAATTACTCAGTCTAGTTTCCTCCCTTTTTAAACAATAGTGTAACATGAGCAGACCCCTGGCTCTGTGCCTCGAGCTAGATAGGATGGAAATAATGATTAGAGCCCCTGCTATTACCTCATCTGAACCCAATACATCTGGGCCTGATGACTTATCCATTTTCAAGTACACCATAACACTTAATACTTCCTCTGAAGCTATATTTATCCATCCAATATTTCATGCACCTTCTCAACTACAATGCCCACACCTCTAGCCCATTTCTTTATGCCCATATCTTCCACCATCGAACATAAGGTACTACTTTGGTTTCTGATTTGTCTTATTCTTTTCTTAGCCATCCTCTTGTTCTTTATTTATTTATGAACTGTCTTTGGATTTTTCTAGATGTTAGTTGCCAATATTTCTTCATGCCCTTTATTTTCCTAGTTTTCTTGTTAGTTTCACCCTTTCTTTCACCCTTACATGCCCTCATTAACTCTCTTGTAAAGGCGTAATGGTGATCTTACCATAAAGTTCATAGAGGATCACAGACTAATTTGGCTAAAGTCCTGATATTTCATGCTTGCATCTGAAAGCAATCTTTTGTCAATTACGTTACAACTTACCTGAGCAGCATTCTCCATGTTCAACACCAGAAACATGCAACACATCCCTAAACAAAAGTGTTACTGCATTTTGTCAGGGTCCCTCAACTGAAGACTGGCTTTGGCTTACTCTTAAGTAAACATTAAGATAGAGGATAGATGTTCACCTGTCATACTTGCACCAGGAGTCTCTGATATCAATTGTGCCACTCTGGGTAATTGGCAAGCAGACACTTTAGTGAGGCTCCATGATAGTTCTTATCCCACAGTCAGAGGCTTGAGCACTGAACATAAGTTGAGACACCAGTGCTGCAATTTCAGAGGAGTCAACTTTTGAGGGAGATATTAAATTGGAGCCAGTAGGAAGTCTTGTGGCACGGTGCCTCTGGGTCACAGCTTCTGGATTCAGGTCACCATTTGGCCTAATGGGAATGGCACTGGGCTGGTAATCTAGCTTCCTTGTCTGTGTACAAAGGTTCAAATCCCACCATAACAGTGGATGAAATTTAAATTCAATTAATAATTCTGGAATTAAGAGCTTAGTCTCAGTGTTAGAAGAACCATGAAAAAATGTTGTAAAAATCCATCTGGGTGCATTAATGTCCTTTAGGAAAGGGAACTGCTGTCCTTACCTGGCCTCGTATACACATGACTCCAGACCCACAGCAACATGGCTGACTTTTAACAGCCATCTGGAATGGACCACTCAGCTCAAGGAAGGATGGGAAACAAATGCTGGTTTAGCCAGTGACACTCAAATCCTATGAAGCGATAAAGAAGGAAAAAGGATTTATCAGCTTGGCAGGCATGTTGTAACATGGCCAAACACAATGTTCATTGACTTGTGAATCCATGCTGTGTGTCTAAGGCAGGCAGTAAGAGCAGGAAAGACTCCTGGAGAGTCAGGACAAGCAACAGCCTCCCCACATTGAAAGAATCCACGTGTAGGTTCTTGCCATGAGCTAGCATCATCCCCATTCCAAGGGACTGCCACATACAAACAAACTACGGCCATGTTTGTCCCTCTCAGATGGACCAGGATGACTCCACGGCAGTGCTCAAAGAAGAGCAGTATGGTTCTCTCTTGTATCCTAACCAAAATGTATCCCTTAACTAACATGCCTAAAAGTAGATTATCCACTCTTGTCGTTGTTTGTGGGAAATGTGTATGAACGGGCTCCCATTTCTCTAGATTGCACCAGTGACTGCACTTCAAATATCCTTTGTTAGCTGCAGAATGATTTGGAATATTCTAATACTGTGAATGTGCTATTTAAATATCTGTTCTTTCTTTTTCTTTCACACAGACAAAGCAATAGAGAAAAGAGGTCTGGCTATTAGTTCCATTGAACAGTCGGTTTTAACAAGGTCCTTTCCATTGGTGAATGGGGAATTTGAGAGGCCTGCCTCTTAACTTTTGTTTTTGCTTGTGTCCTAAGGAGAGGGATTAAATCTCAACGTGGGTGTTCAGGTGTGTAAGGGCTGTCTTGCTGTTCAGAGCCACAGGGAAGGAGGCCAGAACTACTATGGTAATATTGGTGTTATTAACGTACAGGTTACCATACAATCGTTGGACCCATGCCTGTCTTGGTGTCTCAAAATTCAAACCTTGCATGAAACATGGAAATGTGAAGGAACAGGAGAAATCTCCATCTTGCTGTCTAGGTGGGCCTTTCCTGATCAATCAAATGGAATGCACTGTCTAAGTTTTGTGGTGGAGGCAGGTTCAACTGAGACCTTCCAAAGGGAACTGGATGGTTACTTGAAACAAGCACAATGTGCAGGATTACAGAGAGAAGGCAGAAGAATGGCTCCAAGAGAAATGTTGATTTGGAGCATTGTTGCAGGCATTGAGTCATACCGCATGGAAACAGACTCTCCGGTCTTACTGGTCCACGCTGATCATGTTCCAAAAATAAACTAGTCCCTTGCACTTGGCATATCCCTCCTATTCATGTCCTTATCCAAATGTCTTTTAATTGTTCTAACTGTACCTGCACCCACCACTTCCTCTGGCAGTTCATTGCACACACGAACCATGCTATGTGTAAAAGTGTTGCCCTTCATGCCCTTTTTAAATCTTTCTCCTCTCACCCTAAAAATATGCCCCCTAGTTTTGAACTCCCCCATCCTGGGAAAAAAAAAAGACCTTTGCTATTCACCTTATCTATGCCCCTCATGATTTTATAAACCTCAATAATGTCACCCCTTATCCTCCCACACTCCAGTGGAAAAAGGTCCCAGCCTTTCCAGTCTATTTTTATATCTCAAAACCTCCATCCTGGTAAACTTTTTCTAAACCTTCTCCAGTTTAATAATATCCTTCTTCTGCAGTGTAACAATTCTGTGTTCGTGTGAAATGAAAACTGTATGTTTTCTATAACAGGAAGCGCTTTGGAAAAGATTTATATCTGGTACCAATTTGAAAACCTGTCTTGGGATCTTCCTGGAGGTTGCAATATTTGTTAATGCATAGAGTAGCATGTTCTCATTGACTATTGCAGGAATCTGATACAACTGCTGAACACTACAATGAGCAATATGATTCCAGGGCAACTTCAGAAGAACAAACAGTGTACAGTGATGACAGTGGAGAAGGTAAGTGTTTGACAAAGTTTGGGTGTCTTATGATCTCTTGTGAGGGTGCTTAGATCTGTTTGTATCCATCCCCCTCTTCCTATGCCCACCAGGGGCTGACATATGATGGTGCCAATTCTACGCTACACCTAACCAATGCACTCTCCAGGGTCTGCATGGTCCTGGGTCTTAATCATCTTATTGCAGGATCATTGGGAAATTGGAGGTTACTGCAAACATTGCGGGGACTCTATATGCTGTCTTCAAATGGTTACTTCGAGTGTTCAGTTCTTTTAAGTTTGAAGATCAATCCCCAATCCTATTCCAGTTCATTTTCTCTTCCAGCTAGGAGGTATTCAATCTTTCCTTACAAGTTCCAATTCGCTTCTAGTTCCCAATTCAATCCCTTTTCTGAATACAGTCTTCTTCTCTAACATAGTCCGATGTCCTGAGTTTGGTTCGCTCATTGTAGGGGTTAATGAGATGAAAACATTGAAGTCTCCTACTACGATTGATTTATCCTCAGACTTCGACATTGAGTTTTTAGACTGGATTTTCAGAACAGTGGCAATCTCACACAGATTGCCACTCCAACCTTTCTTTTTCACAAAGTGGGAGCTCCCCATTTTGGAGAGAAGATTCTGCTCAGCTCTCCCTCAGAAATATAGAGACATATCTCCATTCTGACAGCTCTTTCATAGTGTGGGAATGAAAACCACATCTTCAAAGCAGTCAGTTGCTGCATTCTGACACTTTGACAGCTGCCTTGAAAGTGTAAGTATGTAAGATATGTAAGTGAGAGGTGAGGGTGCTGGGATGGCAGTGTGCCAAATGGGAAGGATGGGTACAGGCTGCCATGTAAGTAGGGTGTGAAATCAAGACTGAACTAACAGAAATGGTCAGATTATACAATAAATCCAATTAACAGAGAAAGCTTTAATTAGTTGCTAAGTCCTGAAGAACAGACTGCATACAGACAGAAAGGGAAAGAGGTATTAAAGACCTTAAAGATCTGACTGAGAGTTAAAGAATTATTCCATTCTGTGAAAAAAAATCTTTAAAACTGAAGGTATTATTAAGGAAGAAGTTTTTTTAAAAATTTGTTGCTCATCCCAAATTACCTGTGAAATGAGTAACTTACTCAGCCACTTCATAGGGGAATTGAGAACATTGCTATAGATCTGGAGTCACATATTGGACAGACCAGGTCATTCTTATTGGATACAGTGAACCAGATCAGATTTTGCAAGAATTCCCTGGTAGTTACATGGTTGCTATTAGGGTAGCTTGTTAATTCCAGAATTTTTTTAATGTGTCAGGGCAGCATTTGAACCCGTTTCCCCAGAACTTTAGCCTGGAGTCCTTGGATTACTAGCCTAATGACATTACCATTCCACCACTACCTCTCCAGCATATGGGAAATAGTGTAGGTCAGCAAAGCACTACCTGAAGCAGCACTACATGAATAAATTTCTCTCTGACTTGGTTTTGCCATTACTGTTGCTGTTAAGCATAAAGTTTGTTTTGTCATTATGAATACTGTCATATATTTATTAAATTTGCAATATTCAATATTGCAGTACAACTGTTATTTTGACGAGTAAGTTATAAGTGTAGACGCCTCTCCTGTAACGTTATGAGTAGCATTTTGCTCACTCTGTCCTGGCTTTCACATAGACAGCGCTCCTGAGGAACCACTGAACAACTCTGTGGATGAGGTCTCCATTTTGAAAAGGCTGGGCCTTCAGAGGTAAGCAGCAGTAACCATCATGCATGCTTCTATCCTGAATCATAATTCAGGCTTACACTACTCTTACAGTTCTGACAACACCCAAAACTCTCAATAAGAGCATGGGTGGCATGGTGGCTCAGTGGTTAGCACTGCTGCCTCACAGTGCCAGGGTCCTAGGAGCGACTGTCTGTGTAGAGTTTGCACATTCTCCCTGTGTCTGCGTGGGTTTCCTCTGGGTGCTCCGGTTTCCTCCCACAATCCAAAGGCGTGCAGGTTAGGTGGATTAGCCGTGCTAAATTCTCCGTAATGTTCAGACATATGCAGGCTAAGTGAGTTAATCATGGGAAATGCAGGGATAGGGTCGGGGGGTGGTTCTGGGTGGGAAGCTCTTCTGAGGGTTGGTGTGGATTTGATAGGCTGAATGGCCTGATTCTGCATTGAAGGGATTTTAAGACAGAGTTCTTGCTTACTATTGTCAGTGTGTAATATTAAAATATTGTCCATTAGGGGAAAACGGTTCCTCCTGTAGTTTCTGGATAACAGTTCTTACCTCTGTGACAAATCATCATTATCTGCATTCATTGTCTAACAAAACACTTGCAGATGTCCAATGCAAGCCCAAAGGGCGCGAGAGTCTTGGCTGAATCAGAAAGCAGACAAACTCCCTCTGTCACATGCTGACCACAACATCGGGAAAAGATTCTACAATGCTTTGAAATCTGTCTGAGGTCTACAAGACTGCAGGCCAATACCTGATCAAAAATCTCACTGAGCTCTTTCAGCTTATATGGGACAAAGGAGCCATTGCACTAAAAAAAAATTATTCTATTGTCCTCTTGGATAAGCAAAAAGCAACTTGTCAGTCTTGTGACAAGTAGAGTGGAATCTCACTCCTCACCCCCGACTGG